AGAGTGTAAATGTCACTGTTCCATTTCAACAGTGTTGCAGATTGATATTTACTGGAAATTTCAAGTTAATTTTACCATGGAAAGCTCTTGATGCAGAGAAATAATGATAATATGGAAAAAAATTTTACTCAAGGTTATACAACAGTTCATTGGAAAGGCTTGGAGTAGAACCCCGGTTGCCTGACCATTATTTCAGTCTGTACCCATTTTTCTCTATAGCCTGCTTTCAGCATTTGATAGAGACTTCTGCTTAAACATCAAATAAAAAATACGTGGTTCAATATTTTAAACCTATTTTTCATATATCAGAATATATGTGTGCTTTCTAAGGTCCTTATCAAGGGTCCTTTTTATTTTTTTTTTTTTAATTTTGCTTTATTCTTTGCTCTGTTTCATGTCTATTCAATTTTATTTATTCCATGTTTTCTTTTTGTTTTGTTTTTGTTTTTAGTTGTGTCTGGTAAGTTGAAATTTTATTGGCCATCTTCTAGTCATCGTATCACTGTGACGGGAACTTCTCCTCCCCTTCCCATCCATCCCCTTCCATGTCCTTCAACCAGTCAGCTCCCATCTTTTACTTGTTATTGACAAGACACATCGCACAGAATAAATTCTGCATGAAGTATTGGTAACTTAATGGCAAAGAGAAAGGTAATGGGTTGCTAACTTTCTGTCTGTTTTTACCTGATGAAACGAGTCAAATCGTAATGTCGTCTTTCTTCAGTGACTGCATTAGCTGAACTTCAAAGTGTTCTATAAAAAATTATTTTTGTTTTAACGGTCTCAAGGATAGAAGTTGTTCTTTCCTTAAGTGGATTATTATTTCAGCATCTTTTGCAGTACATTCATCACATAGCACACGTATGTGACCCAAGGTGCAAAAGCAAACTGAAGTTAAAAAAAAGACAGTGAAAATGCTTCCAGTATAGTGAACATTGAGTAGAATTTAATAACAAACTTTTGCTTAACCCTGTTGTAATTCTTCTGACACTGAAGCTAATAGGATTTTTATTATTTACCTTAATGGCAATAGATTTAGAATAATATGCATATGCATAATATGCAAATATATTTAGAATAATATACATACAAAATACCTATTTAGAATAATATCTAGAGAAATATATACCTATTTACATTTTATAAATTCTACCATGGTTCCCTGAAAGACTGAATTGCCCCTCATTTTTTGTGAGTAGTCCCTGAATGGTCATCTTCAGACACTAGAATCACAAGCATTCAGCTATTTCTCCGGTGGTCAGAACCATTTTAACCTCTTTGTAGCTGTACCCATTCTCAAGTTCAACGAAATCTGAAACCTTATAAATCCTATGTACTAGCACAGGATATAGAAACCCTCAGTTCCATTTTGTGTGGCATTGTGTCACAGACTAGTACAGAACCAGCCAAGCCCTAAATTTAACTGTATGCTAAATTTATTCTTGTTGTTAGAATCCAACAGCATAACAAAGCTGCTTCACCCTCATCTCCATTTTCCCCATCATACCTTACAACCCTGTGGCAAACCCCCAACAGTTTCACCTTCCGTTCTAAATTAAACATGCTGTCATGTCAAAGTCTTCCCACATCTTCTTCCAAGGTATTGATTGAACGTTTCAGAGCTAAATGTTTTGAAGTCTGCTAATTACTGTACGTCAATCTCACCTTCACTTTGGGTAGTTTCTTATCTAAGGAAATTCTAGGAAAGGTAACATTTGCATCCAAATGTAAATAATAACATGTTTTGCTTTAAAAATTCCTCCCAAAGCAAGAGGGTCATAGGAAGAGTATATTCTAATATGAACTCAGTAGGGAGCAGAGACCCAAGGCATGAGGAATAGAAAGTATTGGCCCACAGGAACACTGAAAGCAATTTCTTTAGAAAGGACTTTGGCTGTTACTGAATTCATTCTAGATAAAGCCACAATTACTTGGTGTTTATAAAACACATTGAGTGATATCTTTAAATTATATGATTCACACTCTTTTTAATAGAAAATCTTGTACATCCAAGAAATGTTTGAAAGGAAAAAAAAAAAAACCACCAAAAACATTTGAGGTATTAAAGTCAGATTCAAAACATCCCCTTTATTCTCAACCCAAAGAAGAGGGAGAGCATAATTAGTTTTGGACAGATGATCAGAAGGAATTGGAAATGAATAAGTAAATGGACTTTAATTTAATGCACATTTTTCAAGAAGTGAGAGTTAACAGCCTATAAAACAAGCTAGATTTTTTTTTCTTGGTGCTAACCCCATCAAGATAGCTAATGCTGTCATCTATGCTGATTTTTTTTTTAATGTGACTGACATGATTTTTTGATATTCTATTTTACTACTGGATGAAGGGGTTGTTGAAGTCTGTATAAATCAAACAGTTTGGACAATGCTGGCAGTATTTATAATCTTAGGCTGAGCAGATGTTTCAAATTTGCCTTCATTTGCATATATATTTTTGCTTGAACATGCCCTTGCCTATGTAAATGAGGAAGACATTTAGCTCTGCTGTTCCTTTAAATTCATTCCTCTTCAGTAATTGGACTGAAGATTTTAAATAGTTACAATTTGTTCAATAGTATTTCTGGGGCATTTGACTTTAAATTTTTTTGAGACCCCGACTACATCAAAAGTCTCATATATAATCAATTAAGGGCTTTTTCTCTCCTCAGCTTTCCTAAATCAAAGATGATGACTTTTGTGCATGTAAGCCTGAATTCGTAGTTACTCAAGAGTGTTTATTGCAGCCCTTGACAAAGCATGGCCTGTGAGCCGGTTGTCCCTCAAAGATTTCTCCATTCTCACTTGTAGCCATACTCCTCCTTTAAAACCCAAATTGTAACAAATTTGTTCATATTGATGACTGTTCCTCTGCAAGTTGTCTCATTAAGTCAGTGGGACTTACTTCCTTGTATAAGTAGTCAGTAATAAAAGCACGTGGTGCAGTCAGAGTTTTAACTGGGAGGTCCAGCAACAGAAAAGATGATCTGAGTGATGCTGAAGCTGTGGCTGTTAGAGACTGATGTGTCTTTGTGCTGCCTCTCCTTATTAAAGAAACTTAACTATTTTGTTTTACACCCTTTAAAGTCAGTAGGCAAATTGTGTTTTCAAATAGGCTAACTTTGGTCTTCTGATAGGAGTGTGATTTATTTTCGGTATTTTCCTTTCAGAGCCTCCACAGTTTGTTGTAAAGCCTCGAGATCAGGTAGCTGCATTGGGGAGAACGGTGACTTTCCAGTGTGAAGCAACTGGAAACCCTCAGCCAGCCATCTTTTGGCGGAGAGAGGGAAGTCAGGTAAAACAGTCTTTCTGTCCCTTCTTCCTGGCAGTTTCTTGAAGACATGATGTCACATGAGAGAAAAATATTTTCATTATTGTTTTAAATAAAATAGGTCTAGAGCTTGGAGATGCTGGATATTTCGTCTCTACTTCTAAGTGACATACATGCTAGGTGACATCAGCCTTACTAGAAGGGATATCTATTTTTTGCTCAATCTCCCATTTTCTCCATGAATGTAAAAATAAATCTGTGAAACAACTAGAAACATTCCATGTTTCACTACTATGAAAATCTTTTTCACCTAACAGGGAGAGATGAAGAGATGACTAACGCTGAAGTTTGTTTGAACTCCCAAACACTCCCAAATTTTCAGAAAGTTTGGCCCTGGGTTTATGGTGCAGCTATTAGTTTGCCATGTGTTTGTGTGTGTCTGGCAAACTAAACCATTGATCTGCGTCACTGCATGGGTAGGACTCTAGTTTGCGGCTAAGGAGATCTCCTTTCCCACTCAGTCAAGTGGCTGACGGGTCATACCTGAATAGGTCACTTTTTCTCCCAGCTTCCTGATTTGAATGGGAGGGAAAAATATTTTCAGCTTCTTTGTAAAGGATCTTGAAAGCCGGTGGGTGAAACACAATATAGCACAGCAAGAGAATCACAGTTTTCTTTCAGAGTCATCTTTTGAAGGAGGGATGTGAGACAAAGTATTCTTTATTGGAATGAAAGAAGGAATATGTGATTCTGGTTTTCTTGTGAATGAAGGAATGAATGGTGCAATAGCATATGACAGGGTTCTTTGTGTTACAAAATAATAGGCCAGAGAAACTGAGAATGCTTAGAGATTGGCTGCTTTACTCCATTTGCAACATTTCTCTCTAAATACCTAGACTGCCAACCAAATTTAGATTATAATCTTCAATGGTATAAGTATACCAGTATATTATGTTTGTATTTTTGTATGACCTGGATTTTTTTTTTTTTTTTTTTTTTGCCAAGTGTTGTCTAGTACATAATTTTTCTGGCTCATTTTTGACTCTGCTAGCGGTGACCACTTGTGATGATTGAGGAAATTGGACGAGGGCGTCAATGAATAGGGTTTGCTAATGCTGAAATAGAGGATGTTGTGTCCCATTCCTTTGGATGATTTTTGGAAATGCAAAATGTAGTTAGGCAAGAAAGATAAAAATAGCCTCTGTGACATTAAAGTATTCTCATTCACAAATTGTTCAGCCAGAGGTAGAAATTCGGAATCAGTATTTACTGTAAAGGACTTGTATTACTTTGATTGAAGTTCTGATTTTTGACCACTGTTCGTAAATGCTATACTTCATACAAAAATATCTAAGTAGAAACTGGCATAGGATTTAATTCTATATTATAAGACTCATTATAGAACACAAACACTATGATCAGAGAGACCTAAACAGCATCTCTTTTTAAAAAAACTGCTCCATTCTTAGGAAGGCAAAAGTTAAAATACAAATAAGTAAACCAACATCTGCATTTAAATAAAATAAATAGAATGCCCTGGAGTAAGTTCTAAAAAAGGATGTTAAAGCAAATTACTTAGGTTCACCACAGTTGCTTGCACCATTATGGTATCTGCACATATCACATCTTCGCTAGCGCCTGTTAAACGTTACGTAAAGCCCAGCATTGACCATAGAGGGTGTTAGAGCAATCCCAAAAGACTTACACAATTCTATGTGTTTATCTGCACCTATTTTATCACAAAAAATCCTATAAAAGCTATTCACATTGTGGTATAGACATGCTTAAGATATGAAGAGCAGAATGTCTTATGTACAACATGAAAAGATGAATTTGTTTAGATATATTAAAGTTAAGATTAATGATGTTTGAATTTATTTAACCCTTTTTTTTCCCACTTTCTTTCCTATACATCTTGTAGAATCTGCTTTTCTCATACCAGCCCCCTCAGTCATCCAGCCGATTTTCAGTTTCCCAGACGGGAGACCTCACTATCACCAATGTCCAGAGATCTGATGTTGGGTACTATATCTGCCAGACTTTAAATGTTGCAGGAAGTATCATAACAAAAGCCTACTTAGAAGTTACTGATGGTAATGATACCTTTATTTTATCATTTCCAAGTTTTTATTTTTATTTGAAGACAGCAGTGGGATGATATGACACTACTTTGAAATCTGCTTTGCATAAATGCGGATTGCATGTGTCTTTGAACATAAAAATCCTGTTTTGGCCACCTCTGTGAGGGGTTTAAGATTTTGCATATTGTGTAACACTGTTTTTCCATTTTGTATTTAGTAAGTATACTTCAGTTTATGGATTTTTGTCAGATCTGCTAATTTATCTGGCTCTTTTTTAGCTTCCCCCACTAGATTTAGTTTACTTTCACATTGCTTGCTGCCTAGCTCTTTATCCCTATTACTGTGTGTCTGTTTGCTTAGCATGTCCATTTACCTGGTTTTTCCCTGTTTTTTAATATTGCAGTATAGTAAGGCAAAAAACTCAACCTGTATGGAAGTTAGTAGAATAACATACAAACGAATATTATTATACATTCCTTTTTAGGAGCAGTTGGGAAAAAAAATTAAAATGAAAAAGCTACAGGGAGCATGATGCAAGCAGTAATAGATGCTGATGTGAGGCCAATTTGCCAATTATCAGAAATACTTCGTATTTTTCATAGCAAAGATACTCAGGAAAAATAATAATCTCGACACTTATGGAAGAAGAGGATAAGTGCAGTCTGTGGAGAGACTTTGAGGGGAGGGAAGCTGTGTCTGAGAAGAGTTTCCATAGACTAGGCCTTTGCCCTATAGAAAACATAGAAATAATGCAGTACTAGAAACATGCAATGAGCCTGGGGAATAAAATTGTTTATTTACACCCACCGGATTGAGATTGTTTGGAGGAATAGGACTTCATCCTTTCTGGTCTCTCAGAAGTGGTAAGCCACATTTATTAATCCACTTTTATCCATTTTTCACTGGGGAGGAGGCCATGGCAAAGTGAGACATAAATTTAAAAAAAAGAATTAAGAAAATTAAGGTTTTTTCTTAATGACCTATGCCATGTGAACTTGGAAAAAATCAAATTAATTTAAATGTATTTCCTTTACTATGACTATATGCTCTGGATTGATCTGATGGGTAGTTGTTTTGTATAATGTCTTGGGACAATATTTTTTTGGTACTTCTATAAAAGTGAAGGCAGGATGTGCAGAATGATACCCTGGTATTCCTAAAGGTAATAGAAATTGCCATCAACTTCAGTGGCACTTAAATTAGCCATGGATTTCAGTGGCATTAGGTTTCTCCTGTAGAGCACAGATTGGTCAGCCTCTTACCACTGACAACTGCAAAGCTCTTTACAAACTTGTCAAAGTCAAATACAAACTATTAAGTGAGCTTATTTTGACTGTCTCTGCAGAGAAAGATATTAATGGCCTCGCAGTGCATTGCAGTGCATTGCAACAGGTTGGGACGAGAAATAAAGGATAAATTATGCAGTTGAAAACACAGAGTGTCATTTGAACATGCAAATGAAATTACGGGAGTTGGAATTTAGCCAAAAAAAGCAGTACTAACACCCTGTCGGTTGTTATGAAAAGTAATTTAGAAATATCTGATGTTCACATATTATCAGAACTTCAGGTTTATGTTTCAGCTACCAAACCAGTTTTTAAGTTACATGAGCCCCCATAACACTGCTGAACAGATTTATGTCATCTAAAGTTGTGGCTATTTTCAGATCATCAGTCCATGTCATGTTGGATAGTACAGGTAGAGAAGGTCACTGAAACACAGTAAGATAGCTTTTACCTCTTTTTTTGATTATGCATTGGATAATGGGAAAAAAGCCTCATGTAGACAATCATTCTTTTTTCTGTGAATACTAAGACTGCTTTATACCTTTCTGTGCACAGTTACTGAACAACCCATCAATAACATTTAATTTTCATTGTGTGAAAGATGCATTAAAATTGATGCAAACACACTGTGCAAAGTCACTCTTTGTGACTTTGAAGTCATATTGACAGATTATGTCATCATAGAACTAAAAGTCAGAAACTACTGAAAAATATTTCTTAGTTGAAAGTTTTTAATATTGCCCTATTCATTAGCTTTGTGTTTACTTTACGCTACTGCTAGGCATCTCCCAATTAGGAAACAGCACCAAGATGAGTTGATGGTACGGTGTACCTATTTGCCGGGTTATCCCCTGCCTGCCTACCTCCTTTTTGTCTATCTTTGAATGCTGAAAGTATGAATTTGGTTATACAGGCCTGCTACGTGGTAGAAGATGAATAAGGTGAAATCTGTGCCTTGCCAAAGAATTTGGGAAGTTCTTTCTCATTCCATTATCACTTTTTATAAAGACATTGGAATTAGAGAATGCCTAGCAGATATCACTATGTAATATGTAATGCTTCTTTACTTTCTGAAAATACTGTGTTGTGTATCATTTTAAAATTCTGTAGTTGTGCATCATTATAATGCACCCTGCCCTGAATAACACATGCCTCCAACTTTAATTACTTGTTTAATTATCTTCAGGTTGTTTCAAAGCCTAAAGCAACTGCTGTTGCTTAGATGATTAGAAAATTGCTTCCAGTTGCAGAAACCTCTTTCCCGTTGTTTCTTCTGGCAGTGATTGCAGACCGGCCTCCCCCTGTCATTCGACAGGGTCCTGTGAATCAGACTGTAGCTGTAGATGGTACTTTAGTACTGAACTGTGTGGCCACAGGCACTTTAATGCCCACTATCCTCTGGAAAAAGGATGGGATCCTCATTTCTACCCAGGACTCTCGCATCAAGCAGCTGGAGACAGGAGCATTACAGATCCGATATGCCAAGGTAGCTTGAACTGGCAAACGGGTTTTCTTGTTGTTTTTTCACTTCTGGGCACTTTTGATGCAGTAAATCCTACATTTAGAATTAATGAAATGTTAAATAAATGTATTAAAGTATTTGATACTTAATGCTTGCAGATAGTTCATTCTTTATGCTTAACACCTTGGCTTATTCTGCCTAGGGCACATTATTTCAGATTTTATAAGGAAAAATGCTTTTAAGAGGTATTAATTAAGGGAATTATTTGGTACTTAAAACATGAAGGGGAAAGCAAAACTTGTATTTCAGTAAGATGAGTCCTTAAATTATTTGGGCTTTAGCACTAATAGATTAAAATGATCTAATTATTTAAAATGTTTATAAAGAAAACCTTTGTTTAGCATACTGCAGTAATAGAGCCATGTACACAGCTTTTTCAAAACAGTTTTTAAAGTTTAAACATATTCACCTGACAGCGTAAACATAGCTTAAAATGGTTAACCACCTGTCAAATACCTGACTTCCTTAGGGAAGTATAGCAAGTACCTGGTCAGTATTGCTGGTCATGCCTCGCACACTGTAAAATGTTCTAAAATGTTGTTAAGTTTTAGCATACTGGCTATCCTCTGCTATCTTTTCTGTGGTTTGAGATGTAGTAATTTTTTAAAATTAGGCTGAATACATCACTTTACTATGTTCCCGAGGGTTGCCCTGTTACTGATTACAAGCTACACCGGCTTACAGTTTGAACCTCTGATTTTTGAGCGCTTCCATTCAGGTCATCTGCTGAGGCTGGGACCTTAGGAAGATAGCATTTCTTTTGGGGGGGAAAAAGAAACTCTCGTGAAATGTGATTAAGTCACATATGGACAAATAATCCAACATTCAGAACTGGATGAGAATAGCATATGGAGATTCCTTTTTGGTTCTGCTGTAGAGTGAAATTTATACTAACAGAGGGAACCCCATATGTACAAGGCCCCGTGCAATATTTAAGCTTTGTTTTAAGGATGACATGCTCTCCAGTGCTGCAGTCCAGACAAATCCCCAGGCATTATTTAGGCAGGAGGTTGACAGTTGCATGGGGTCTTGTCATCCAAGTTTCCTCTCAATTTATTTGTTAGGACCTCTGCAGAGCAAGGAATAAATGCTACAAGAATTGGCCTTCAGTTTGTTCATTACAGAATAGGTAACATTAAATTGGAGTCTGCAGCTTTTCCAATTGTTTTACAAATGCTCAGAAATAAGTACCCATTTTCATTTTGCAGCACACGGAATCATAACTTCTAATGGAAGAAGTTTCTGGTTCGAAGTTTTTGCAGCCTAATACATTTATCCATATTCATGGGGGAACGTAGAGAGCTGTAATTACTTTTCTAGCCCACTGAGTGCCTGATTGTTTCAAATATTTATTCTTCTCTCTTCCCACTCAGCTGGGCGACACTGGTCGGTACACCTGCATTGCTTCAACCCCAAGTGGCGAAGCTACATGGAGTGCATACATAGAGGTCCAAGGTAAATCAATTAGGGTTTCTCTGCATGGAGCAAATACATAAAGGAAAATCAGAAACTGAAATGCAGAAGTTATCTGACTCTGTCATAAATTGCCAGTGCAGATGTGAACAGCATTTAGCTTACAGCTGCTTCCTGTCTATACTCAGCATTTCTCTCTCCTTTGTAGAGTTTGGAGTCCCAGTGCAGCCACCAAGACCCACTGACCCAAACTTGATTCCTAGTGCTCCATCAAAACCCGAGGTTACAGATGTCAGCAGAAATACAGTAACATTGTCATGGCAACCTAATTTGAATTCAGGTGCAACACCAACCTCTTACATAATTGAGGCCTTCAGGTATGAGTCTCATGTGATCTTGCTGTGCTTACGCTTATATATAATATGTTGTTAAAGAAACACGTGCTAACCTGCTGTTGTGTGTGTTTTATCCTTAGCCATGCATCTGGTAGCAGCTGGCTAACTGTAGCTGAAAATGTGAAAACAGAGAGTTTTGCAGTTAAAGGGCTAAAACCTAATGCAATTTATCTATTCCTTGTGAGAGCAGCTAATGCATATGGACTAAGTGACCCAAGCCAAATATCTGATCCAGTGAAAACTCAAGGTAAGCTTTTGATACTGGACATTTTAGATGTCCACAGTGGCTGTCACAGGTTGACTGAGCAATACCAGATGCAGGAATTCTGGTAGCTTTTGACTGTCTGCGTATCCTGGCTATAATATATACTAGATGGTAAGATACAGTGTTTAAACTTGCATTTCTCTGTAACGTAGACTCTGAAAGCTGCTTAGACAGCATATTGCATTGCCTAAGGGAACCCTAGTATGTCTCTTATCCAAAGATAGTTACATCTTGCAGAATAGCTCTTCTTAGCAACAAAAGTAATCTCTGTTTTTTTAAGTTATCACACAAATCCTCAAATTCCATGGAAATGTTATTATTATGTCCAGTGAACAAATGAGGCTTCAGACTGAGACAGAGAAAGAAACAGCACATAATCTAAGTTGGCTGCATTAGGAAAGAGAAAAGTTTAACGTTTGAAGGAATTGGGCATCATGAGCCAGTAAAGGAGAGGTTTTGGCAATGTATTAAAAGTATTTCAATAGTACAACTATTGAAAGTAAAATGGTAGGGAAGAGAGCCAATGCTTACAGATAGCCAAGTGGAAGAAAAGGCTGGGTAGTAGTGGATGAAGGAGTCATCCACTGACTCCAGCTATGACTGAAGGCCATCTATGGACTGAATCCAGCTATGTAAAATTTAAAATAACTTTGTGTTCACTGTAGAAAATAATTGACACTTATGATGGTGTACAGGGAATAATGCATTGCAACTTTGCAGCCTGCATTTTCCAGTAGAAATACTTAGATTCTTAAGAAAGGAAAAACTGGACATATTCTTTTTCAAAGTGAAAGTGATAGAGATCATCTTTCTTTTTTTCTGCTTTTCCTACTTGCTGGAGAAATTGACCTATTGGCTTATTCAGAGTGCCTGTGTTGTATGTTTGTTTCTTTGTTTGCATAAATACGTACATGTTTGTTTTTGAAAGGAAGTTCCATAAAGGAAACAAAGCATTTTTCTTTGGTGACTTTTTATTTTTTCTGAAGCTGGTCTGAAAGTGAGTCTTTCTCATCTCCCTTGGGGAGTGAACAATTTCACATTGCTGTCCTTTGTTATTATGCATTTCTCCTGATGGGTGACAATTTCAATGGATATAGATAGACAGCAGAGTCACGGCCACATGGAAAATAGGGATTGCACAGGTTCCTAAGTCTGTTTCCAAGGAGAGATTTAGTAACCTTTTAGTGATTTCTGTATTCCTGGTAAGACAGCAACACACGTTACTGGGCAGACAGGCTGCAGTGTTCTGCACGAGTCCGTTTTTCATGCAGTGTAGTTTCATTCCTGGAGAAGAGATGAGGTATGGGGTCTGAAGGTCCCAAGTGAACTGATCACTGGCCTCACTCTGATAAACAGCAAATGAGGCAGTGTTCTGTTCACTCAACAGAACTGAATGGTTTATAATAGCATGGAAAAGCTTCACTGTCCTCTGGGCATCTAGTAGAGCTGAAGTCCTGAGAACCACACAAAGCCCGAGTGAAAATAACAACCAATAAATAAAATTTTCATCAATAGTAAGAAATGTAATCAAGTGTGAAGTTCTTTAAAGTGGTTCCACCCTTCTTCCAATACCGTTTCAGTTTTGTCTATGTTGTGGTCTAGCTAAGTAAGTTCAAAAATTTCCCAGTTCACTTTTGTCTAGAGGGTGGTATAGTCTTTCCTAAATGCGTGTCCAGACCAGGAACCTAACCTACCTTTGTCTTTACACTTTCCCAACATTAACAACAACGTGTTCTCACTGACAGTGCCTGTCTTGGAAGCTTGGAGTCGAAACAAGAAAACACACGTATTGTTGTATAGCACAGATGTGCAAATGGCTGAACCTATTAATAGTTTGATTCATATTGTCAATGACTTATCTTTTATGACTAGCAAAGATAGAACTAATTATTCCACTGACTTTCCTGTTACATTCTAAGCAGGATGATATTTAGGCAACTCTCCAAACAAAAGCTTCTATCTTTAATGCTTTCAAACTTTGGGGGGAGGGAAATACTCTGATAAATGGACTGTTTGGCAGAACATATGACATGTGGATACAGCAGTGACTCAGTGGAGGGTTTTTTGGTTTTGATGTTTTGTTGTCATCAGCGTTCCTTGCTAAGAATCCAGATTTGTCACTCACTGACTGCACACTAACCTCAGTTTGCTTCGTTAACTTTGAAGAAATCCCATCTTCTTGTAAATATGTTGAGGAAACTGTATGATAAAAGTTCAAAGTGACATAGGCTTTGTATTCCCAAATGGAAACTGTACTTCTGGAAAGAAACTTCTCGTCATGCCTTGTCCTAATGCGGTCTTACAAGGGTTTTATTATTATTTAGACAAGACCAAAAGCTGGTAAACGGAGAATATGACCACCATGCAAAAAGCATACTTTACAACTGTTGCCCTTGCATTTAATAAGTGTTTTCTATATCAGCATGAACTGCGCTATCCAAACCTCAGCTTTCATGATAGTCTACACACCTACAGTGACTTATTACAGTAGTTGTAGTTGTACATAAATATATACAGTTTCTGTGTACTTTTCTTTTTCGCACTTCTTGTAAGCAGACAGGTATGGAAATTTCCAAGGTACTCAGAGAACAGAACTCTTGAAGACTTCCTGGTCTTGCTTTGTCACTAGCGGAGGTCAGGCAGGGAAGTAGTAGGCTGGAGCAAAGTTTATGTAATGCATTACTCTGTATCTGGAATTAGATTAATTAAAAAAAAAAAAAAAGAAAGAAAAAAAATCACTGTAAGTAGCTTTCATTAATTTCCCAGTCTTTGATTTTTAGCCATAGTCAGCATGGTATTTGTTTAAAATGAAGTGATCAAAGAGACATATATGAAATCAATACAGAGACTATGTTACTCTGCTGTCCATAGTACATGTATATTTTAGACACCCTATTAGTGATTGCCTTACAAATTTTATACGTGTCTGACAGTCATTCCATTTCAGTTAAATATGCTTTTCAAGGGCTCTGCTTGCAGAAGATTTGTGTTTCCATTTGTACCATTGCATATTTTGAGAGGAATTTGTCCCTTAACGTGTATGAACAATTCTTTTAGCTATAAGATAGATCAAACGTCAGAAGAACCAGACAACACTCAGCTCTGCTATGCCTCCTGTTTACAGAAGTCACTTGCCATCGGAGAAGCTGTAGCCACATGACTCATTTTTCTTTTCTTCGGTTTGTTACGTTTATTTTGTAATTAAAAACAATAAGTTTGCCCATGAATTTATCTGAAGATACAGCTTCTGCTTTTGCCACTCTTTATAGGTTTCCTGGTCTCTTGGAATTTGCAGTGGGTAATAGAATGTTTTCTCATCCCAGCAGGGAATAATAAAGAGATGCTGCTGTAGTCATTTACCAAAGACATCCCTGAGTGTGGTTTTTCTTTTTATGTAGCATTTCCCTCTTGTTTCTCTCTGTCGAAGAAAGTGCAGTGCATTGATTTGGTACTACCTAAGCATTGATGGTTTGCTTGGGAAAACACTTCATGTAGTTTTTTCTTACATAATTGGGAAGTACTTAGGGTAAACTTTATTGGTGATAACATCATATACTTTATGATATATTCATTTGTATTTACATATACTTATTTTAACAATTGTATATACTTGTGAGAATGGAATCTTAAATTATTACAGATGTTCCACCAACAAGTCAAGGCGTGGATCACAAGCAGGTCCAGAGAGAACTAGGTGATGTGGTACTACATCTGCACAACCCAACTATCCTTTCTTCCTCCTCAATTGAAGTTCATTGGACTGTAAGTATAAATCTGTATCATGGAGGTGGTTATATATACTGCTGAATTGTACTGTTTGACTGCAGTGGAGTCACACTTTAAGAAGCTGTGTAGTTTGTATGCTTACAAATGTTTTCCTCTGGAGTGAGTGCTACTTGGGCTTTGCTTTCCTACTTCATTAAATTTTGTCCCATTTTCACCATTTTATGTCTCCATAAAGAGTGCTGTTTACAACATTGTGAGAGTTTCAGAGTCCTCCTCTGGAAGCTAAAGGACTGATCAAAGCCTTCTTAAGTCATAGCATTCAAAGCTTTTGCACTGCTTTCAGTAGGAAGTGTATCAGTCCCCTAATGAGATAACATGGGCACTTCCCTGTCTGTCAGTCACCAGTGGGGAGAAATACTGCATAATTCTGTTTGAAAGTGTTACCTCCATCCTACATAAGTACTGAGAAACACACCCAAATCCATATAGCCTCATCGGAACCTATCCTTTTGCGCGGTACTGAATACGCACAGTACAGGGAGAAGAGACGAAAAGGGCAAATGGTTTTCAGATGTTGTGTTGATGTTGCTCTGGCGGGAGGAAGCAGGAAGTTGGCCGCATGGAGGATATAGCAGAGGAAATGAGGGAGGAAACAATACTGTAGGAGTCCTGAAGCAGGGGGAATGAGAACATACGTGAAAAAGATTCAAGTAGGCTTACAAGGGTGAGGCCCCAGTGAGAGAAAGGATTAGAAATGGCTTACTGTGGGAGACATTTGGCAATGAAGAGGTAGAAATGAAGAGAAAGAACAACACGGGAAACTGCAAGTACCAAGTGTAGTTCAAAGAAGAGCAGTTTTAAAAGAGAATGCAGAATGAAATAAAAATGTGGGATAATTATACCAAGTGCAGGAATAAATCCAAAGGGAGTGAGCTTTGAGGTCTTTTTAGGACTTCCATCTGAACATGTCAATATATTGGCAGGGACAGTGTAGGAGAGCACAGGGTGTAGCCCCTGCCATGCCATGGCAGAACGTTTTGAACAGGAACAAAAGGCATTCTGACTTTGTAGAAGAGCCCTAGCCCAGTGGAGTCCTGGTCCGTGACCAGGGCTCCTCAGTGCTGCGAGAGTACAAATAATATCTGCTGTGTTGCATGGTAATTACGCTGTCACCTGCAGTACGGCCACCTGCAGCAGGCAATCTCCTGTTTTAACTAATAACGTTAAAACATCTTTGAGGTTCCTAGCACAATTTTATTTGACCTTTACTTACAGAACAACCTTTTCCAGACAGGCAGTTTTTGTCAGTCTCTTGGGTGGCCTGTGGCTTCTCCGCGATTTCAAAAATAAGCATTACCTCAGTTTCAGCTAACACACGCATTCTTTATGTGATTATTAAAAATGAAACGTGCTGCTTTTTGGAGTAAAATGGCAAGCAAACAGTTTTATTATATCACTGTATGAGATTTTTGAAAATGGGAAAATCTGATGCACTTTAAAAATGTTTTTGTTGTTGTCATTGGACTTTCTTATTCATCAGAAATTGAAACAGGTAGTTAAAAGATAGTGAGTGCTCCACGAGAGGCCACTTCTATAAGATAGCTTTCTGTTTCAGCTGTAGCCAGACACATTGAGTCCCACCCTCGTTTACATTAAGATCTCTTTCTCCATACATGTGTTATAAAATGGCTTCGGTCTAAAAAGCACTCAGGACCACCGAGTATCATATTGATCTGCTTTTCCAAGTCTCATCTGTGTTACCGTACTGAGTTTTAAGAGCTTCCTCAGAGCCCTCTCAAAACAGCCCTTTCCCTCCCGCTGCGTGGGTGGACGTGGAGGAAGGGCCTGGGCAGATCTGCCTCTGAGGGAGCCCAGCCTCGGCACCGCGGCGGAGGTGGTGCCAGCTGGCTGCCCTTTCCATTCACTTCCTCCAGAAGGAAGCAGGCAGGAAGCGGTGCTCGTTCCATGGATTTTGGGAGGCTTCCACACCTCGGGAGAGCTGGCAGGCTCTCTCTTTGATCTCCATATTCATCACCCTCAATTGTGGAGCTGTAGGTCCCCTGCCCTCGCCCTCCCCCCTCTCCCCACATTCCCCCTGCCCTGCCGGGCAGATTCGGGTGGGCAGAAGTCCGGCCTGTTCTGAGCTCCATCGCTCTGCGGATGCAAAGGCTGTTCATTTCACGGAGCTGGGGCGTGTTATACAGCTCCGTTATCCCCCTTTAATGCCTTCATAAATCCACAGAAGCCAGCGCAGTTCTGCCAGCATCAAACAGATTAATGCACTTGTGAATCAGGCCTGTAATTTGCTGTAATGCAAGGGGCCTTTATCTGCTTTGGCCGTGTTGTTTACTTTGAATAAAATGAATGGATAGTCCAAGGACCGTGCATAGTGTCACAGACATCATTCCTGGTATTTCTTAAAGGATGTGTTGTGTGTTCTGCTGTCTTGCCAGGTGGACCAGCAATCCCAGTACATTCAAGGATACAAAATTCTGTACCGGCCTACGCCAGCATCCTATGGAGAGTCAGAGTGGTTAATCTTTGAAGTGAGGACTCCAACCAAAAACAGCGTTATCATTCCCGAGCTGAAGAAAGGTGTAAACTACGAAATCAAGGCCCGCCCTTTTTTTAATGAGTTTCAGGGAGCAGATAGCGAAGTGAAATTTGCAAAGACCCTGGAAGAAGGCAAGTAGGAGCCAGACTGTCTTCATCTTTCCTTTTTGAAGTAGTAGTCTGGCCTGCTTTCCTCTTATATGTTCATTATTTGATTTTGTTTGAAGTGTGTGCTGTTTGAGAACAGCAATCTGCAGCAGAGGAGGCTGCGTTGGACTGATCATTATGTGAATTGTTTGGTGACACAGAAGTAAATATTCAGAACCACGCGCGAGAGACAGAGGGAGAGGGATGTGCAAAAATCCCCTCCAACACACAATGGAAAATGTGCTTTTTATCTTCACTGCAGTGTGCACTCCTCCCTGCTGAGTTCATGGTCTGGTCACAAGTGACTTCTGTCAGATTGAAGCACTTGCTAATCACTATCTTGAGTAGATAGCAGACACCACAGAAATCATCAAAGCGCTATAGCTGAGGGAATGGAAACCACATTTTGAGAAGGCTTTTATATCTGGATCAATCAGTAAGACAAAATGAAAAGATGAATGAGGGCAACAGATATAGTGGACTAAATTATATATTTCCATCTCATACATGTGCTAAAAAGAGAAGGTTCATGAAGCTCTTCCTTTTGTTGCTGCTCAGGCATAATGAATATGCAAGATGGCCGGTGCCTCTGAATAGGGATTTCGGTGCCTCTGTTGGGATGTGCAACCTTTCTTCTTCTCTCTTCTCTCTTCTCCCTCCCCAGTATAAATGCCATGTAGCTCTGGTTTATTGCTGCGAGTGGTTCAAGAGGTGTGCTTAACTGTATTCATCCTAAGCATCAGCTAAGCATCCGGTTTTCAGAAAGACTATTTAAAATGCAAAACATAAATTATTTTTATAAACGTGTTAATATTAACACATTCTGTCCTGATTTTAGTAAGTTTTGTATTACTCATTATTTACGCACTAGAGGAACTGAGATTTAGCATTCTATTGGGGTCAATTTATAGACTTTATTTTTCAAAACTGTTGATCCTGGGTGAGATGATTTGAGACCAATGAGAAATTCAGTGCTTGGGACTGTGACGTTCAGGTAATGGGTGTCTGAATTTGGAGAGTCTGGTGACGAGTGTGACTTTTCCTGTCCTGCACAGCGAGACTGCAGCAGAACTCAGGAGCCTGGTTGCAGGTTCACATCACTTTCCTTCTGGATCATTTTATCTTGTGGGCAAGAACTGCCCTCAATGAAGGGTGGGGCATAAAAGAACGCATTTGTGTAGCCCAGAGACCATCTTCCTCTTAAAAAAGCTCACTTCTGCGTGTGACGAACTTAACCGTTCAATCCTTCTTTCCAAACAAACAGCTCCTAGTGCTCCACCTCAGAGTGTTTCAGTAACTAAGAACGATGGGAACGGGACGGCAATTGTGGTCACCTGGCAGCCGCCCCCCGAGGACAACCAGAACGGGATGGTTCAAGAATATAAGGTACTGCTGGCATGCCTTGATCCCTTGGCAGAGGAGGTATTGGCCAGGTAGTGACAGATTAGGTTGTTCGTGGATGCTTGGCTCCATCTACTGGTTAGTCAGAGCAGATGAGATAGCAAGTCACTTCTTTGGATCAAACTCCATGTTTAGTAATTCTTTCTAGATGGTAGAAGGCAATTAAAACAGCCTCCATAAATCAAAGCAAAGGGTTAATACTCTTAATTAAATCAGCTACCTTCATGCCTTCCTTATAACTTGAGAAAAGCGCACACAAGTAGAGAGGGAACCATACCTGTTTGAGAACCATTTTGTGACTCAAAGATATTGGCCGAGGTAGTAAATATAAACAGGCTTAATGAGTTGAAAAGCTCAGGGATAATAATTAACAGTGTTAAGATCTGAGTAAATTATGCGTAACTGGGTAGTTAAAACAAATGGAAAACTTTCAGGTAAAGAATGTGGCTGTATAATAATAAACATATTTAGTGTACAGAAATTTTTCTTTTCTTTCACACAAACACAGTTCTCATTATGCTATTTAATTTTTAACAAATTGTAAGTACATTATAAAATATTTATTATTTGATGTTCGTTTAGCAACATTACACTGTATGTATTTTCAGTTCACATTGTTTTGCGATAATTTACATAGCGAAGTAAATGAAGCTTATTTGTCCTAAGCAAGCTACAGACATTTTAAATGTCTACTTGTGGATATCAAGTAAGCTTTATAGCCATAGAGCAGCAGGATCTTTGGTTTCAGTCTCCTGCAAATGCGCATTACTGAGAAAATTTTTCAAATGAGAATGTCTTGGCTATTTTTCAGGTTAAAACACTGTGCTATAGACATATATTCCTAGCCATCAAAACCCATTCTGCTATTTTTTTTCCCTCAGTAGAAATGGGAAAGGGAAAAGATCACTAAGCTTTATGGTCAATTTAGAGTAATAAAACACCTTTCAGAACCCGGTCAACTGGTAAAAAAAATCAGTTTATGGCTTAGTTTCAGATATATAATGTAATTGGAAAAAAAATACTTGGAAAGTTATTTTATTTAAAGACAGACCTTGAGCTGAAGAGATGGAATTATTTCCATCAAGAAACTGCATCAGAGGAATGTTAAGGTTGTAAGGACAAAACAATAAAAGTTAGGAAATTCACATTTGCAGGTGGATAGAATACCTAACATTCCTCCTAGCATTCAGAGGTAATAGGCTATCAGGTGTAGGAGCAAGCGTATTGTAGTGCTTGTATAGCAGTAGATGGCACACTGGCACGTTTCACATCTACATTTATTGTATGGATGCCATTATTTTCCTTTGTGCTTTTCACCGTGGTCAGAAAACAGATACAATGAATATATATGTAATTGCTATTTACGTTGCTATATGTAATTAATATTTTTGTCTAAAAACTAAATAAATGCAGAACGAGTGATTTAAGATTAAGAACTAGTAACAAGAAAAAAATAAATAAAAGTCTTGTAAAATTTTCTTTTTTCTTTCCTCTTTGTTTTTCTATCTCCTATGTTTTCTCCCAGAAAAAAAGGTACGCATATGTGGGGGAATTCTGTGTTTTCTCAGCAACTGGGATCTGAGGCAAGAATGTACCTACTTTAATTAAAGGATAAAATAAATAGGAAGGAGGATAACATCTTAACTGAGGAAATGTCAGTAGCACACACAAAAACCCAGAAACTCAAATCACAGCAGAAGTCATTCCCTCCTTCCCTAGCATGAAGTTAGAAATTCTCCCGTTATACTAATTCTTTCTTCACTTACGTGTCTCTTGCAATGTGAATCCCTCCTTCCTTCATAACGTTCTAAAAGTTTGTTTTCGCTTGCCTATTTAGGTATACAATCAAATATAATATGACAAGTACTGAAAAACCTGATGTTTAACCTAACATTCTTGTTATGTGAATTTCTCCATGTATTTGAGCACCTAAGAACAAAACACTTTTATGAAATAGTAGTGCATTGTTACAAGTACATAATAAATGGGGTTTTTTGTTTGCATATGCACCACTATACAAGGTGGCAGTAACAATTTCTGTGAAAATGACATAAGTCAACATGATTTAAATCTTTTTTTCCTCACTTTATCAAGTTCTTATTTACATAAGAGCATTTGCATGGACCATCCCTTAGGATTTAGGAGAATATTATTAATATTACTAATAATTATACTACTACTAGTGACTGAAACCATCTCTAGTTAGTATCAGAACATAAAAAGGAGATTCTCTTCTCTTCGTGTGCTCTGACCTGCTCTGCAGCAGCAGTTATATATATTTGGCGTTGGGATTCTATTTCAAAGGAGCTTAAAATACATTTCAGATCCTCATAGTGTCCCACTAGCCTTGTTTCAATCCTTGGCAACCAAAGAAGGAAAAAGAGTCTTACAATGTCCTGAAGGTGAAATAAAATTTCCAGTGTCCAGGCGGAAAGGGCTCTACAGAAAGGGCCCTAGCAATTGTTCTATACATGAAACTCTAGTTCACTCACCTGGCAATCTCCACAGTGGCAGAATTGCACGAGGGATTAAAAGCAGCTATCTGGGTACTAAATCTTTTAGGAACTCCATATGTCAAAAGCAGAATCTTCCCTCCTATGTACAATCAGCACAGGTTCAGAAATGCTGCTGTTCTCAGGAAAGTTTGCTTCTGTGCAGATGAAGTACTGAATTTAACTTTCTGGATAAATATTCATTGTAGATCAATACATTTGTGGAAAGGAAATAAAAAGGAAATCAACACAGCTTCATCAATTTTTTAGCAGATCTAGATCAGCTGCTACTTCACTTCCCAACTTCACCAGTTGGGAGTTCAACTATACTCTTAAAAGCATTTGCCACATCAGTGCTGCAGGCCTGAAGAGATAAAAATATCTCATCATGTTGTTTCTCCCAATCATTTAATATCACTGATGTAATTTATAAAGGGGTGAATTGAAGTCATTAGACCTGTGTCCTGATCTCAACCAAAAAATGAGATCTGATACCACGCTGTTGTCTCTCAATAGAAGATGGCATATTACTCAATCCTTGCCTCTTGCTGCCATTAAAAAAAAAAAAAAGATAATGTTTGGATTCCAGCATGACATTGGTTCTCTTGTGACGTCATGTGATGAAAGACTTGCCCTTGCACTTCAGTGAAGAAAGCCTTGCTTGATGAATGATTCCTGAACAAGAGAATTGCAAATTCATTTAACTGAATGCTCTTACTTTGCTGTTTATGTGAACGATTCTTGGCTACGGGGCTTCCCTTATTTGTTCTGTTACTAATGCTTTTAGTTTTATTAGCACTGATGTCACTGGTTGAACTGTAAATGAATTATGATAAACCCATCAAATAATTTTAGTAGTTGGACCTCCTCTTTGGAACAAGAAGTATCTTTTCAGTATTCATACAGTGCCTAGGACAGCAATCCATGACTGCAGATGTTAGAGTAGTGACAAATTCTCAATTTCTTTATCCAGCAGAAAGGAATGTGTCATCCTTCCTTCTAGTTATCCTTTGGTGTTGAATTTTGAACATTTATACATACCATACACTTACTTCCCTGCAGGTTTGGTGTCTTGGCAATGAAAGTCGATACCATATAAACAAGACAGTAGATGGTTCCACCTTTTCTGTAGTCATCCCCTCCCTAGTTCCTGGTATTCGATATAGCGTGGAAGTGGCAGCAAGTACTGGGGCAGGACCTGGAGTGAAAAGCGATCCACAGTTTATCCAATTAGGTAAGCCTGCTAGTAATCCTACCTATTGGTTTCAATGATTTTTGTTTGTTTGCTTTTGTCTTTTATGGCACCAGAAATACTTTCAAAACAAGTGAAATAGATAGTGTTACTTGATCTCTGGAATAGCAGGATTTGGCATTTCTGGTTTTAAACTTGCCTTAGAACTGCATTCTAAAGATGGGATTATAAAAACGCAGGTTTTTTTAGTCTCCCAGTTCAGCAGTGCTTTTTGGTTGTTGACTTTTCAAAGTGAATTTTCATACTTAAGACTGGTGTAATAAAACATGTAGGGGAGTATGAATCACTAAGTGTTGGCTCACTTTAGTTTAGGGATGTAATTTGTCTTGATCAGATTTTATCTTCCTTTATTGAAGCAGAAAACCAAAAGCATGCTAAAATTAGGCACAATAAATATCAACTATGTGTGAGAGCTAGTAAATAAACTGGGTACAGGAAAAAGAGGTACACAGATGATTTACAATAATCTTGACCTCTTAACTTCATTTACACCAAACATCTCTCTCTCAAATGCATATCAGGGGCATTGCTCCTGGATGTATCTGGGAGAAATGCATCTTTGCTGTTGGTTAGCTGAAGATTATTTAAAGTGGCTTTAGGTGTAGTCATATGCTGCTTTACCAGTATGCCTGTATCAAAATACCTTATCATTACAGTATATAATTGTGCAAGCAAACTCAGAATGTTGCTTTGGACTTTATGTCTCGTCTATATCTGTATCATTAGTAGATCTTCCTTGTTATTTCACTTTTTATATTTAAAAATCTATGATTACTGCATGTGAAAACAAGACCGAACGACTAACATATTCTCTGGAAAATTACATGTACATTTCCTTGGCTATTAAAACGAAGGTCATCTTTAAGTTATTTAACTTATACAGGCATATGATTCCCAATTACATTAATAGAGGTTTTATGACAAAAATTGCACACAGCTTATATGATATTCCATTAATATGTGCAAAATCCCATAGTTATTTGTTGGGTTGTTCTTTCCTACAGCCAGCTTCCATTCACAGCTTCCTACAGCCAGCTTTCCAGTCAAAGTCAAGTTTGTTCTATATGGCTTAGATTTCGAAAATTTTAAATTAGTGAGGCTTATGAATGTAAAATAATGGGGTAACCTCGATGTTCAAAGGCAAAGACTTCATAACCACTTTTTTTTTTCCTTTTCTCTAATGAAATCTATAATGATAAGCAAATGCTAAATGAAGGTGAATTCTGTAATGGAACTTAAGCACTTCGGGGTTTTGGTAAGTGGAAAAAGAAACAAATGAGACTCTATCAGGGTAAGATTTTTGCCTCCTTCTGCGTTCCTGGCCTTTGTTAAGGACTGTCACTATGTTAAAAAGCATGAAGCAATCACACACCTCAGAGGGTGTTCAAATGTGCAAGTCTGGTAGAATCCATATATTTCCTTGTGGTTGGGGTTTGCTTTCATAGTCTGTACTGCTTGCCTCTAATTAAATGGCATGGTCAAATCTACATATACTGTAGTAAAAATCCCACAATTTGGTTGTTACATGGAAAAGACCTGGAGACAGGAGTCTTGTGGAGATCCATGCCACTAGAAGCAGCACAAAGAAATACCTAGACAGTGCTGCAGTCCTTTTCGGCAACTGCAGGAGGCTGCTGAAAATTAGTACTTAAATTTAAGAGGAGTACCCTTTAGCAGCACAGATCAACCTAAAATCATCAAGGCAGAAGAATGGCTGCAGTTTACCTAACTCTATCCTGTGATACAAGTTCTCCTACAGCCCCCGCAAGGAATCGCATTCTCAGTTCTTGGATGTGCTCCCAGCATGGGGGTGGAGAAGACACTGGAGTTTTCTGGTAGCTCTTCTGAAGAAAGAAAATTAATTTGTTGATGTCATAAATTGGCACTTTTCACCAGCAATAAATTACATGGTTACAGAGAGAGGGAAGGGAGGCCAGGGAGGGGGAGGAAAGAGGACTAAGGATGCTACTTTTAGAAGCTTTGAAAGAGTCCTCACTCCCTGTACCTACGTGCTCTAGGAGCTGCGTGTTTGCCAGTGACAACTTCAAGTTTCTACATTTCTTCACTGATCCCAACTATTCCTTCAGGAAAACTTTTCCTGATTTCTGAATTAGTACAATCGTTACTTTTTTTTTTTAACCAATTGTCGTGGTTTTACCCCAGCCGGCAACTAAGCCCCACACAGCCACTCACTCACTCACTCCCCCCCAGTGGAATGCGGGAGAGAATCCATGAGAATCTTGGGCTGAGATAAAGACAGTTTAACAGGTAAAGCAAAAGCCGCCCACGCAAGCAAAGCAAACCAAGGAATCCATTCACCACTTCCCACCGGCAGGCAGTTCAGCCATCTCCAGGAAAGCAGGGCTCCCTCACGCGTAACGGTGACTTGGGAAGACAAATGCCATCACTCCAAACGTCCCCCCCTCCTTCTTCTTCTCCCAGCTTTGTATGCTGAGCATGACGTCATATGGTATGGGGTATCCCTTTGGTCAGTTGGGTCAGCTGTGCCAGCTGTGTCCCCTCCCAGCTTCTTGTGCCCCCCCAGCCTGCTCGCTGGTGGGGTGGTGTGAGAAGCAGAAAAGGCCTTGACTCTGTGTAAGCACTGCTCAGCAATAACGAAAACATCCCTGTGTTATCAATCAGCACTGTTTCCAGCACAAATCCAAAACACAGCCCCATCCTAGCTACTATAAAGAAAATTAACTCTACCCCAGCCAAAACCAGCACACTAATTAAGAATTCCATGTGTGGAAACAGGATATATTATGTGATTTACATATTCACTTTTTTTTTTAAGAACTTTTCATTAAAATCAAGTGTCTATCTCCTTATAATGTGTTTTTCTTACATAAATGTGAGATTAGGTTATGGCTGGCTCTGGAGCATCCAAAGAAAAGGTTTATTTCCCCAGTGTAGCCTACCCTGTTGCCCAGTGACCTCGTATTTGAGTCTGCTTGCTGTGCAGGGTGCTCCCAGGTTTGTGACTGCAGGAAATGCCTTGGCAGAGTTTCAGCCGGGTATGTGACAGGAGGAAGCTTCACCTTTCGGAGACCACCTTCCAGAGCCAGAGGGGAGGACAGGAGACATTGGATTCTCTGAGATGTGAGGTGTGCAATTGCAGTCCCATGCATCAGCTGAGCTGTGATAACTGACCTTGTGCATGCACTTAACCTGTTACAAAGACAGGTACAAATTGTAAGCTCAAAGCTCTTTCATTTTCCATGTCTCGGCTGACATGAAGCAGCTCACTGAGCTGTGGTACCCCAGGCTTCCCGTGCCACCAGGGACAAGCCAACAATATACTTGCTTGTTATTCAAAAATCACCTTTCAGTGTTTAAAATCCTGAGATCAACTGAAAAATCACGTGTCTTCTTAAAACACTCCCCTTGGGGCTTCTGAATTTTCTTCTTGGCTTTTGAATGACCTTTTAAAGCTTTCTGTGGAATTCCAAGGGCTGGAAAACCATTTGTTTGTTTGTTTTAAAAGAAAACTTGATATTTTACATAAAGAAAGACTTTAAGAGCTTTGGTGTTAAGGAAAAAAATTTCATATTTCATGAGAGCTAGCCACAGCTCACTATATTGTGCTTATAATACTATGCTGTGAAGAAAAAATTACAGAATTTTGATAGAACTTTTTTCCTTGTCACAATATGTAACTTCAGGACATTGGTTACAAAAATGCTCTGTACAGAAAGGTGAGAATTATCACAACAAATTGTTTTTTGCTGATCTCTAGCCTAACTTTTGTACAGTGATGGAATACTACCTATGATAGCTTGGCAGTATTACTTATGCTTGTTGGCAAATAAGTAGGGAAATTGGAACGTATTGCAACATATTTTGGTCAGGGTATCAGCTCTGAGAAGCCTCACAACTGTAGTTAATGTTACTCTTAAACACACAGTTTGTATGAATATATGGTATGTAGTTAGTTATTAAGAGATGTCTGCACGATTATTATAAATGTGGAGTGCATTATTGAACCAGTGGATGTCTCAAGTGTACAAAACACAAGAAAGTCTCATTGAATCTTTATTACTGTAATTGCTTCATTTAGGAGGTGTGATTTGTGAACTAGCTAGCATGCCTTTAGGGATATTATTCTGTCAGTCCTTCAAGTACTTCTAGTGTGATGACTGTAAGGTTTTTTTGTTGATATTTTTGTCTTGCAGACTGCAAATGACTCGAAGAAAGTAATCCTTTTTTTTTCCCCTCACAGCAACCCTTCCAAACTGTATGTTATAAGATTGAAGTGCAAAACTCATATTTTTCCAGTTTTGGAAATGTATATAACTAGAAAGGAGACATAACAGTATATTCTTAACCTGGTAATATTTTACCAAATAATTTTTATATGGAATCAGGCACATATGTTTGAGGAAACACTCAGACGTTATGTTGCAGATTCCAGGTGTTTTGCAAGTTTTGAATTGCTAGAATTAGCAACGTCAACAAAACTTAGATCTTCCTACTTACTGTTTGGACGTTTTGTATACTAAATGAGACAGGCATATGGAAAAGTACCATTCCATAGGTTGTACATGTACAGGGCAAAGTTAAGGTTGCTTGCACACCTGTGAACCTGGAATTTCCTGTCTTTTTTAAATCTTTGGCATTCCAGTCTTAATTGTATATTAATCTTTTATTTAACATTTACCAACTTAAATGTTAGTTTTTACATTATTATTATTTATATGAATATTTAACATTAGAGAATTAGAGATCCCAGTTCTTCTCAATGTAAATTCTAATTAGTTTTCATTGAAGTTTGGAACTTGGAGCTTCAAGACAGTCAAATGGGGTAGGTTGTGAGCAATAGCCATAGCAACATTATCTGTGATTAAAAAGAAGGCTCTTATCTTGGGGTAGAAGAAGAAGGGATGAGTCACTGTGATAATATGCTGGTTTCAGGGAGTTGTGGGATCAGCCTGCTCCAACAACTCTGAGGCATTTTCAAGTACATTAAATGCTGCGGCTGCTGCTCTGGCAGTAAGATGCGCTTTGCCGTAGAATGTTTATGTTCACTTATTATTTTGGCACGTCTCCCCGAGGACTGCAAGCAGGAACAGGAATGTTGATTATGAACCGTTTATATCTCAGTCAAAGCTTCCAGAAATTTCCTGGGATGAAGAAAAAGTACTTTTTTTAGTTCAAGAGCTTTTTTCCTGACCGATCATTCAGGATCTCACAGGACTATTATGGAGAGGGAAGATGTCCTTCTCAAAGAAAGGCTTCCAAGATAATGTTCTTGGAAATTTTTAGTAATGAGGGGTTCACTAGATTTCATTCCCTTTGCTTTATATTTAGCTTACTTTCTATTTTTGAATTGTAAGAGGAGCAGGACATGGGTCAAATATGGCCTCCTGAAAGCCCTTCTATCTTCTTTTCTATGATGCTGTTTATATGACTGTACATGAACACATAGGCATTTTTCTCTTCACCATGTGTGTAAATATATACCAGCTAATTTAATGTAATGGCTCTAGCAGTCCACCCATGTACAACATGCCATAAGCCTTGTTTCTTAAAAGCAAATATATTATTATGCTGTTCTTATGCTTGCAATGGCTAGCAAAATAATACCATGAAATGAATCTTAATTAAAAATTAGAACAATAAATGTTCAAAGAGATTCGTCAGTATTTTGTAATCTTCAGACATGCATTGACTGAGCAGTGCAAAATGTTTGTATATATAAAACTACTGTCCTTCTGTATGGCTGAATTGTTGACATGTTTAAAAAACATTCTTATTTGGCTTTTGAGTTTGTGATTTTTTTTTCCCTCTGAATTTATTGTTTTAAATATATATATTTAAAGGATTAAAGAAAAAATATTTATCAGTCTTCTAAATTTATTCAGGACCATAGATTCTCCAGAAATGTTTTGTTCTATTCCGTTAAGATGTACAAGGTAGTGTAGCTGTTTAAAAATAAAGAAATAGTAGGCTTACTCATTTTGAAAAGAGACTGATGATGCAAGTTTTCATATCTTAATATGGCCTCAGCTGCAACGAGACAAAAGATGAGATAGAGAGTGACAGATTTAATTCATTGGTCACAGTATACTTTATACGTTTAAGCCCATCTGGCCACTTGTGTGGAACTTCACTTGACTGTCTCCATAAAATCTGAAGCAACCCATCTTAACCTTGCACAAATAGGCATGAAATCTATAAACCCAGCAGACACAAAGGGTGTATTAGTAAGAAAAGAATGAGTCTGCCTGGTGAACTTTCAGACTAGGCAGTGCACTTAGAATCACAGAAGATAAAGGGACCTGAAATATGAAATAAAATTTCCAATAAGGTAGCTGTCAAAGGCGGTAGTGATTCCTCGTCAAAATAGGTATTTGACCTCGATATCACAAAAACTGAAATCTGGAATTCTTCACTGGAAGAAGCTGTTATTAATTTAACCATTTCCCATTCAAAAATGTATCATTTTCCAGAAAAGATTTGTTATTTGTATGATTTGTTGTGATTACATCCCCTGTTTGTATTGCAGTTTCTTATATTTTATTTAGGCTTATTTTGGAATAATGCAAGACATGTAATCATAAAAAAAAAATCTATTCACTGCTGATTTTTTGAAAAGGTACTGGTCTTTAAGTAAATAGCTTTTAATTTCTTATGTAGTTTATATTAATAGAATTAATAACAGCGCAGTAATCTCTCATTCTGAATCTGATGTCTCTACCCATAGTAAAAAGCAACTAACTGGTGGATTTACACAAGAGTAAAAATGGTATTTCAAAGACTAAGCTGTGGAATGTGTAAAGCAATATCCGCTCTGAGTAAAGGTTTCAAATTCTTGCCCTCACCCTGTGCAGTAATGAAATTTCCAGTAAGCGCTCACTGTAGTGGTGAAAAATCAGGAAGGCAGTATTTTGTCTTAGAGTTGCTTCATTTCAGTTAGAAAGCATTGGTCACTAACTGAATATTCTTACTGCTGTTCCTAGAAGGTTCTTGCAAAAGTTCAGTACAGAAAGAGCAGAAAACACTGCTTCTTACAGGTGCTTTCTCTATTAAAAAAAATTAAAAGTGTGTGGAAGAATACACGTTCTTTATTTTCATGTGGGATATTTAAGGATAAACTGTTTTTGAAAAGGGCTGCTTCTTCAGTAATAATGAGACTGCTTGACTGTTTTTACCAATTCATAACTCATTTTTTAGTCATCCTTTAGCTTTTTTATCCACGTCAAGAGGGCAAGATCGGTTATTTTGTACTTTTACTTCTTTACGTCCTTTTAAATATTCAGTCTTTTAATTGAGGTCAAAGTGAGAGACTGCAAAAAGTACATTAATACAAGATTTAAGTCATCTGTCAGGAACTGCTAAATTAAAATGTATCCCTCAATACCAACTTCATGCGAATGTACTTTGAATTTGTAATTTTTCTGTGATTTTCAGTTATGAGCGTGGATGTTTGGTTAGCTGACTTCTACCCCATTTCCAGAGCTCAAAGAACAGACTACGCATGTTTCATACTTAAGCTTTCTTTTACTTGCTGTGTTCTTTGCTGAATAATTTTCTGAAGCTGGTGTTGCTATGCTAAAATAAAAATTAAAAAAAATAACAGTCCCCAAGTTTGAAATTTATGAGCCTAACTTTCTATTTGTATGCCTAGTGCCCTGATTTTAGGAGTTTTCGCAAACAAACAAAAGTCAGCGAAGTTGGAGGTACCTGTCTTGTATGGAAAACAAACCATTTCTATTTAGACCTGTAAAAAGAGATTTTGAAGAGCAGTCTTAAGGATTTTACCTTGAGAAACTGGACTATGGTTATGTCAGTTCTTTTCATGCTGCCTTTTACAGTTGCTCATTGAAATTAATTGGCTATTTTGGGTGTCTTTTTTTCAGATTCTCATGGAAACCCTGTGTCTTCAGAAGATCAAGTCAGTTTAGCCCAGCAGATTTCTGATGTAGTAAAGCAGCCTGCCTTTATTGCTGGAATTGGTGCAGCCTGTTGGATTATCCTTATGGTCTTCAGCATCTGGTTATATCGCCACAGGAAGAAGCGAAATGGACTCACTAGTACTTATGCTGGTATCAGAAAAGGTGCCGTATTATATATTTCAGTCCACTGGCTGCTGAATGTCTGTTTGCTGGCTATTTACTTTATCATCAGTCTCTTGTTCTTCTAAGAATTATCAAATTACTTCAATGCTTTCAGGAAGTGTGGATCAGGAGCCAATGCAGAAAGCAGCAATATTTACATAACATGTTAAACCCGGCTTTAAAGCATAAGCCTTTAGCAAAATACCTAGACTAGCTTTTCATAAAGATACTCCTACAAATGAGAAATGTAAAGATGGATTTAAGGCTGGGAGCTTCCAATATGCCCTTGCTACCTGACATTGTACCATCTGAAAAGGAGCCAAGTGGACGGTAGTTCATTGTCCCTCCTGTTCGGTCCTTTGCTTGCTGCTAAGAATACTAACAGTGGTGTACATTACAGTAACGCTTTTGGTGCGTGTACTTGAATATTCTTGTGTTCCAGGGAAATGTGGTGAAGTGGCTGTTTGCAAATGCACAACAGTCAATGATACTTTCCAAGACTCTTTCATAAATGCTGTTGTGAGACCCTTCGTTGGGACTGAATTCTGGGGCTATCACATCTTGCACCTGCATTCGGTTAGAATGGGAGCAGTGGGACTAACTTAAAGCACTCTTCGTTTTCATGTTATTGATACCTTTTATATCAGATTGTCGGTGGGCAAGCAGTGCTTTACAGTATACTCTGTGACAAACAAAACTAGAATCTCTATGTGGAAGATCTTCTGGAGTAAAAACTTGATTTCTCCTGATTCAATAATCTTTTGATTAAGCCCCAAAGTTAAGGCTGAATTCAATAAGCTACAGTTCATTACATCTCAAAGCAGTACCTCATAGGCACTCATAGAGTAAGAACCATAAATTCTGGAATGAATCAGAAAATGGGAGATCCTGCTTTTGAAGGAATAGAGGGAGAATGTTTGATATCTAGCAATCAAAAGATAGACGTAGAATTAAAGGTGCACACATCTTAATGTATGAAAGGTGTCATGAGATTACGTTCTTTAGTAACCTCAAGAATGAATGTGTGATGGGCAAGACAGATAGGCAAATATTACATAAATGTTTTTAAACAGTAGCAGTGTGTTGCTATGAAAAAGAAGCAGTGCTAAAAATAGCAACTGAGTGAGTGGAAACATGGAAATAGTTCTGGAGTGTTGCAGAGTTTAGGTGTCCTCTGTGCTATTAAAGCATCAATGCTCATGGTAGATGTCGGGCACAGTGGTTGTAGCGGAGTTGTAACCACAGAAATCAGGGTTGAATTTCATCTTTGATTTTGTTCTGCTAGGATATCTTAGATAAGGCAGACCCCGACATACTGCTGCATTGGCCTGCGCTGTTTTGTTTTACTAATAGCATGCTGCCATACTGCCTTTCTACAGTTCTATCAAACTAACATCACTGTGCTTTCAGCAGTACCTATGATTAAGCAAAAGGCATACAATTTGTCCTTAAAAATGGTTACTTCAATGACATCAGCTATTGTTCAAAACAGCTGTGTTTTTCAATATCTGTAAAAATATCTTTTGTGTAATTTGGTGGGGATTTTAATGAAAATATGCAGAAAAGTAGGGTCTGCATCTCCGTTATCAAGTATTCTTCAAGAAAAAAGCCATCTTTAGTGAAATACAAATTGCAAAGTAGTTTGCCACTCTGCAGTGCATCAAGTCAGCACTGCAAGCCCAAACTTCCTTCAGTCTTGCTTTTATTTATTTATTTTTATGTGTAGCTTCAGGCCTGACATCTGTTAAAATACTTCACTACTCCCACACATACATATTGTACTAGCACTTTTACACACTTGGAAGAGTTTATTAATAGAAGCTCTGATGATTAAGTTGTTCTTTCGTGTGGTAGCGATAAAGATTTCATTTAGCTGAATCTTTGTTCATCTGTTCCTCAGTTCCTTAAGAAACTAAACTAGGTTTAGTACTTAGCTCACAGAAGAGTAATGAGACAGTAGTTTAAGATTTTTTTTCATGTCCTTGTGATTGCAAATTAATTTTGAGACACTTCATTCTCTTTTGAATAGCTCTGGTTTAAATGCACCTTCTATTTTAATGAAAGCTTGTTACTATGGTTCTATATTTTTGAATGTAGCTAAATTAAACTTGACTGTCTGAAAAGGCCTAGCTCAAAGAAAATACAAAGGAATTCCCAAGATATAGAGCTGTGCTACAAATGAAGCCTGAAACGGGCAAATGCTCAGATGTTTTTCTTTTTTTGTTTAGTGTCATATCCCTGGAAATAAATTGGCTTGGTAAAAGGGGGGGAAAACTACAGCATATCCTAAATTATAACAAGAAGATGATCTGGACTCCCCCCAAATACCAGAGTTATTGTAAAAACTAGATTAAGCAGTTGTTCTCTTAGCCAGAACCTTTTCTTTCTGTGCCACGTTTGCTGATCAAATACTATCTCAAGACTACTTTTAGTGAATATTTTATTGTTTCTCTTACATTTCTCTTTGCTGTCATTAGATCGGAAAGGGCAATGTTAGCCTTTTTCTGCCCATCAGTGATAGAAAAACTATACTGTCTTGTCAACAGGAGGGGGAGCATGTGCTAATAGGAAGAGCAGATGCTAGTGCTCTGGATTTGGATTAGAGACCCTATTGATCCAAAGAGGATTTGTAGTAGCTGTGAGAGTGAAGATTGTCAAGCAATGTCATTGTTCCATTGTTAACCTTTCCCTCTTAAAGCCAAGGGTTGAAAGGTAGAAAGGTGCTACATCTAGGGAGATCTTTTACCTTTTTTTGTGATTATTTAAGAAAGAAAGATAATAACTCTGTTTAACAGTCTCATCTATGAAAACAAAAATTAATTGCTGCAGTAGATTTTAGTGCCTTTATTACAGTGAGAGTTGGTGCCATTCTTGATTCAGAGACAGTAAAACAGCAATTCTCTTTGTTCCTTTATATGATTATTATTTCCTTACTGAATACTTAAGTGTGCCTATTAGTTCAGCGTAATGAGCATTTATTTAGTGAAACTGCAGATAAGATTCAATAGGACCTTGATAAGGCTTTGTTAAGGAATTTGTCATTCTGCATTCCAAAATGATTAACAGTGTGGGGGTTTTGTTTGTGGTAGGATTTTCAGAAAAACTTAAAATACCAAACTGAGGGGTATTTGAAAGGCTAAACCACAGTCCCGTCCCCTCAGGAGCACAATAGAAAATCCAGCTATTTTTCAGAATAGTACCTGCAGAGACAAGCTTCTTTCTGAATCGCAAATTTAATTTTATTTCTATATCAATGTGACTGAACTACTGGGTTAGTTATATACATTTGTTTTATGTTCAGCTGTCTGCTAGTTTTTTACTAATGTGGTATGTTTCCCTTTCTCTCTTCAGCTTAATAACCAGTTTGTATTTTGTTTTGATTTTTCAGTCCCGTCTTTTACCTTCACACCAACAGGTATATATTTGCACTTTTCCCCCCTTCTTTGTTACTTTAGCATGTGTTTGTGGTACTGTTTCTCTTTTTCTGACATAACCAGCCCAGCTGTTCTGAAGGTTTTTTTAAACAATTTCATTAATGACAGGTATCATTATTTTGTTCTCTAAGTAGTGTATATTTGCTTTGTAGCTGACACATTTTGCCGTTTGTGTGTACCATTTTGTAGCATACCATTTGATGCAAGCATGCCATTTTGTAGTATGATCCCATCAGTTTGTACAGCCTGGGCTCTCTTCTTGCATATTACGATGGAGTAGTGTGGCCTTCTGCATCTAGCGATGCAAAAGGTGCTTCTGATGGAAGAGGAATGACCTAGCAGAGCCCAGATGCTGACTTGAAAGGGATTCAGTGGGATTGTAGTTGGTGAAACATTTGCTGCTTTTTTTTCCTCTGAATCTGCATTAATCCAGTGACCTAGGAGTTGTCTGCTTTGGAAGATACAGAAAATCAAAGTGTTATAGAAGTTAGATTTCTTTGCTTGCTGCCTTAAACTGTATTTGTGCTATGAAATTTTAAAATAATCATCCTGCTCTACATAAACAGCGGTGCATTTCAAATTCAGAGTGGGTTTAAAATCATCTTCTATTTCTTTTTGCTTGGAAACGTACAAAATATGACATAACCTGAGCCATAGCCCACCAAAGTCCGTGAGAGCCTTTCCGTTCTGTAGATCTTCAGTTGGTCCCACAGTCTGGCAGCTCAGCGGCTTTTCCTCTACAGTAGATACAATTCAACACATTCAGTACCCACCAGTATACTGCGTGCATTACTTTTAGCTACAGCCGGAGTGAACAGACAGGTTGTTTCTTCCTCCTTTGTTCTAAATCCCTTGTTTTCACAAGAGGTCTATGAGACTTGCAGGACATGTATGACCAGGCAGGGTAAAACCACCTACCCCCTTCTCTGCACACTCACATCAGCAGGGCATACTAGCTCAAAATCAGCACTGTACTAATTTGGCCTCTGGGCAGCAGCTGAGTTACATCCTTCCAAGTTGGACCACAGATGAAGCAATCTGATGTCTGTCTGCATTCATCCACACAGACCTAATCGTAATGGGTTAGATTCTTATCCACATGCTTTTAATCACATTGAATAGTATCTTGTTTCAAAAGCCATCCTATTATGTTCAGTGGAGTTGCTTACTGTTCAGCATGAGTCAGAGTGGCCCTTAATGTTTCTGAAGTCCTTTGAGATCCACGGTGGAGACTAATTCAAACTATTATTATTTTGCTGTTACTTTAATTGGCTTAACAGAGGGCCTCTGTTGCAATCACAGTTGTAGCACACTACTGAAAATCTGCAGAGGTTGGTAGGTTAGCTAACATATATTTTCTCAGTTGGATTCTTAACATTAAAAGAAAATACCAGGGCTCCATAAGATATGTCAGAGCTGCAAAATAAATAGCATTGAGATTTTTAAAGAAGAAATTGGAAAAAACACGAAGTATGTAAAACATTTAAAGGAAGAAAAAAAAACCTTTTTCAATCCAGGATCCCAGTCATTAGTTCCATTGACTTTAAATGGAACCAGACAATCTTCTTTAGCATTACCTATAGTAAAAGACTTACCTGTAGCAATGCATCCTACATTTTAATCCTGTTACTGTAATCACTGCCAGCATTTATCTCTCTCTTGCAGACTCCCAGTTTGGAGTTCTTCTAAAGAACAGAATTTGGCTGCTTTTTTTCAACACATTCCTAGTTAGAAAATGTAGAATTCATCAGCATTTGCAGGGAGGCAATCTCCTTAACTCTTTGCCAAACCCAATGCAAACCTGCAGAATTTATAGCACTGTTTCTTCTTGGATGTTTGCATCCTAAAAACTAACTTTTCACCCATGATGCTTCCTGTGAAGGATATGCAATTCATGCCAAGAAATAAATGCATTTGGACATCCACTTTGTTAATATGTAATGCTTCTGAAATGCTAGCAAAACTGTTCCTTCTAATTTAGGAAGTATTCTTTCTGCCAGACATTTTTTGCCAAGATACATAAATTTAAATTTTTAGATTAAAAAAGTATCATTAATAAATCCAGTTGTAAAATGTTACAAAACGCGAAGCTTCTGTGGACTTTTAGAGTGTGCGGGTTCCATGAGTATAGTGAAATAACGTTCAGAAAGAGCATGTGTTTTTGCTGTAGGTTCAGCTGTAATGAGCCATTGTTTACATTGGAAGTAAGGTCTGTTACAGAATCATGATACCTCTTTAATCTTACCAAAATAATAAGGTAGAGCAAAGCTTTAACATCTAGCCATTCATGAAATAAATATTACCTAAAGTCTTCCACAGAGTAACTCCACTGAAGTCAGCAGAGTTATGTTAAGGATAAGTTCAACCTGATGTATGGCTTCCTGCTTTCTTAAGTGATACATGTGTGTGTTTGTGTTTTTCAGAACAGAACTGAAATACAAAACTTTGTTGAAGCTAAGACTAGCAGTTATCAAGCAACACAAGTATTATGTATAAACTTGCATTTGAAGGAGTAGCTTGCAGAATGAGACTCAGAATTAATGTATAAACAATGCATCTTTATTGTCTTAGCTAAAATGAAACAAAGGCAAATTTAATACTGCTATTTAAGGAGTCTTATGATTTTTATATTATTTCCTTTTTTTATCTTTAACTATTTCAGTAACGTATCAGAGAGGAGGAGAGGCCGTAAGCAGTGGAGGCAGGTAATTATGTGTTTTATTTTTAAAGCTATAAATCATGTGCAACCAAATTTAAGGATGTTAGGAGTACAATTGTCCTTGTAAGTGATGGCAGAATAACCACTCGCAATGATATGTTTTAATTTATTGTATTAATTTATACATTTCGGCCATATGTTTTTCTGTTTAGAAGGAAGATATATGGTTTGAATTTTTAGGTTGATTTCCAAAGAATGAGTCGTAATATTTTCAGCTTTGTTAACCTGTAAAAACTGCATCTCAAAAAATGAGCAGCAGAGGGAGCACTTTAACTTCAAAATAAAGACCTGGCTTACCAGCTGATTAAGGGAGTAAAAGTAATTAAGTCGTGGCATTTATGAAGATTAAGAAATATAGCTGGTTCACAAATACTACAAAGAAAGAAAACGTTTATTGGAAAAAATTGCTGAAGACATAAATGGCTTATAACGTGACTTTTTAAGAAAAAATCTTGCTATGAATGCAAAACAGTTAAAGCATCGCTTGCAAGAGATAGGGCACTGAAGGAGAGGGAAACAGGTAGGTTTTCAATTTAAAGCCCCCCGCTTTGAGAACCTAGCCTATTCCAGATTGAGGATTTAACTGAAACATGTTTACTGGGTTTACGCTTAATAAATGGCAGTGGAAAAAACTGTAATTTACATTTCCTGTGTAGAGGTGGAGTTTTCTTCAGGAGGCAAAATAATGGTTTTAGCAAAAAGGCGGGTCAGAGCAGTGTCACTTTAGTAGCACACCTTTGTTTTTTCTAGGTCACATTCAAGCATGCCTTTTTATGAGCGTCTCAGTTAAAGATTTGGCATGATGCTGAAATAAACTCTAAAATCTCAGAGAGCAGCTGGGCAATAAATTCCTATACCAATTCCTGTTTCACAAGTGGCATCCTGTGATTCCTAATCTGCAAGACTGTACAAAAATTTGGAAACGGTAAAGATTAGGCATAAAATTAAACATTGAATGCTGTGCAGAGGCGAGGCTACT